AATGGCGACCACACACATGAAGACTCCGAACCAATGATAGCCGTGTAGTTTCCTACCAAGGAAAAGAACGGAAAAGATAGCGGAAAAAATGATCATAGACCCTCTCAACATCTGCCATACAGATGCCGAATTATACAACAATCCCACAAAGGACATAGTCGTGGCGATCAAATCAAAAGCAGCAGGGGCCAATATCAATAAACCAGCTCTCCAAAAGCTAGGAACATCCTTCCCACCAGAGTTCTGCCGCTGTTGATGTGGCTGCTCCAACAAGGCTTCATAAGCTTCACCACGGTGACCTCTAGCTCTCATACGATCAATCAAGACGTCAATAAAGTGGATTACTAGAACGATAACCATACCCATGAACATGGTTAATGTTCCGAACCAGGGCTTCATAAAGTGCTTCACATCTCCATTGATACCGACCGAAGTCATTTCGAACTGCAGCTTAGTACACATAGTGTTGAGGGAGCCGAATATCAGAAGGCCCAGGATGTACAGAGTAGTCTTCCCACAAAAAGCCATAGTTACCTCAGAAGTAAAGAAGATATCCCACGAGGAAAGTGGTAAAAAAACTGATCATCATATGCGAACTAGGTATCAATCAACGTCAACACAACCGCGAAATTATATACTCCTACCAAATCAAGTCCGAGCATGCCACAGCAGAAAGAGAAAGATAATACGGATCGAGAACGAACACCCATTATGCACACTCTCTATTGTACTCACCATCTCTTCAGGTAGATTAAGTGTTTAACCGCCCGATAAAGATCTACACATTTCAATCAGCTTACCAATCCCATAGTTGTGTGTATAAATAATTCTATGAAGCTCTATATGAGATACAGAAGGCGAATCATTCGGCGGCAAGTAGTTCTCTAACGCCATGTAATTGTGCTGGTGACAAAGTCACCGTGACATGACCATAGTGACGTGGGTTTACCGAACGAATCCAATGTTATCCATCTATGCCAGGAATTTCTCCTGGTTATAGTACAAGCAATGACGAAGACGACGTACATTAGTAGGGTGATAAGTACCTGGTAGTGCGTTCCGGTTCTGGGTGCCTAATCGTTGGCACGAACACTCAACAGGACGAACAATTTGGCGCACGCCCAAAAAACACAAAAAGAACCTCGTTCGCCCTAAATTCCTCTTAATGCCCAGGTCTCATTTCAATCACAGTTCAAGTCCTGAAATAAGATACAAGTCCGAATTAGGTAACAGAACCACAAAATCTACTTGCCTCCACTAGAGTCATGTGTAACAGACGCTCAGCACTAGTTGGAGTTGAAGTAACTCCACCTATGGGTCTGGGTGGATGCGGTAAGGCGGATCATCAGCGGAGTATATGCTGACGCTGTCGTGTATGATCGCGGTGATGCATGGTATCGAAAGCCTGAATATGTTGCGCTTGACGCCAGGCTGAAAATTCTTTGCGGCCGTCCGGTTGACGAACCTGATCTCTATTAATGGTTCAAGCTCGCCCGTGGAGTCGTCAGGGGAGCAGTCAAGCACGCTGCTCAGTGCAATAACGACGATGTCGACATCAACTCCGATGATGATGATGACGGTAGTGCAGAGCAGGAGTTCGGCCACGGTGACGATTTGGAGCCTAGCCAGAACAGCTCCACTCAAGTTGGAGGCGATCTTTCTTCGCACTGCCCGGGGAAGCGTCAGCGGGTGGATATTACCAGTCAGGATGTGACACTCAAGTCCCGCGCACCGGTGTCCCCTGATGACGAACCTCCTCAGCCTCCTGTACATTCTGATGGTGGTCTATCCTCTTCAATCGTGGACTTGTTTCACAAGACTGCTAACCATCGACCCCAACCATCACCAAGCGCATCGATCGGTTAGGTTGAAGCTGCATCCCAAGGATCGGTGCCTCAGCGGCCGAAGCCAA